ATGTTCAAACAAAATGCATTCTTTAGTTCCAGAATCTCTCGGTCAGGTTTGAACATGCATCTTCCTTTGTAGGGGAAACCCACTGTCTGATCTAGTGGATCTGCCACAAAGCATGTTTTTATTAAATCTCTTGGATGCACAGGCCAAGAGATATAATTCACAATGTTTAAAACAAAAGCACATAAGGCATCAACTCAAACACATTTATTCAGCAAAATAACATTGAGAGCAATAAGAAAACATGTCAGATTAAAAATAAAATTTGTTAATTCCTTATATATATATATATATATATATATATAAATAGGGTGTGATGAATAAATTGTTGTCTAAATGACGCAAAAATGAAAATAACACTGACATCTCATTTTAAGAGATATATTTACCAAAATCACACAAAAATATCTTGAAATACTAAAGAGTAAATTTATTCAATAAAATCGCCATTGGTTTCAGACAACTTTGGAATTTCCAGACAACTTTGGAATTTCCTCCAACTCTTCTGAACAGCCTCCTTGTTGGTGAATACTGCAATAATCCTTGCCTTCAGTTCATCTTTGGTGTTGCAAAGAGTTTTTGTTGTCTCTTGCTCAACAGCACCCCCACACATAATAATAAAGGGGGTTGCAATCTGGGGAGTTAGGTGGCCTGATGTAAGGGGTGATATTGTCACAGAAATTGTCTAACAGCCATGACTGGGTTCGCCTGCTTGTGTGGCATGGTGCAGAGTCCTATTGCCAGACATAGTATCTTTCAGCAGCTACCCTCTTCATGCAAGAGCAGCACTCCCTCTTCAAGGCACTTGATGTAGGCCTCTGCATTGAGTCTGAGGCCCTATTAGAAGATGAATGGAGACATGACGTCACCATCACTAGTGATCACTCCAAACAACTTCATAATCACCATTAGACTCATCCAACTCTTTTCGAATCCTTTGCACTGTTATCAGGTTGACACCCGAATACTCTGACATGTTTGTATTGAAGTTTCTGGCATGAATGCCAGTCAATACAGCATGTCATTTCCAAAGTTCTGGTGGTGTGAATTACATTATGGTGCTTTTTTTCTCACAGATGGTACCCAACTGACCCTACTCTACTGTGCAGTCAACAAAATCAAAAACAAACATGAAATGTATGAAATTAAAGATATAAAATGGTGACGCACCCCATGTGTGTATCTATTTATTCATATATATATATATATATATATAGTATTGTAAGGGTTTTTAAGAGAGAAGCCAGTAGACCTGAAAAGTGAAGGCATTACTGAAATAACACCATTCAGTTAAATAAGTTTTTCCTCATTAATTAATTAATGATATATATAATATAATAACCGCCTTCAATATATATATATATATATATATATATATATATATATATATATATATATATAATAACCTCCTTTTTTATAAAAAAAAAAATGAAAGAAAACGGATGGATAGATGTGTGAACGCATGTGCATGCATATATATGTGTGTGTGTGTGCAAGAAAAAATTATTCAGTGAGCGAAATAGGCGAGTCGTTTACACGTTGACACCACAACTGATGAAAGATGTTCACTACACAATCCAACATTGAATACAGCGACCTATTGTGTACATATATACGCAACAACAAATGGATGCGCATATATGCCTAGTCCCACACTGTTCATATATGTTTATGTTTTTGTGAGCTCCAGTGAGTGTGTGTGTATGTATGTCTGTGTACATCAGTGAGTGGATGCACGTGTATGTATGTTTGCATACGTATGAGTGGCATTCTGACAACAATTTTTTCTCCCACTACCATAAAAACACCGATATAAGCATCCATATATAAATTCAAAATTTAAAAATTAATCAGTTTGACACTAGCAAATAGCGTGAAACCCAGGGTCACATACTCACATCAACTAAATATGTTAGCTCTATCACTGATATCGAGTGCTTTCCAATAAATACTATGCATATATGATATATAAATAATATATATAAAATTTATATATATATATATATATATATATATATATATATATATATATATATATATATATATACACATACATACATACATATTTTTTATATATATATATATATACACATTTTATATATATATATATATACATACATACACATTTTATATATATATATATATATATATTGTTCTGAACTTATAGCATATAGATGAACCATGGGTTCTAAAAAAAAAAAAACGTGGTTTCTTTTCTCGGTCTTCACTCAGAAATGGAAGCGGCACAAGGGAATCAACGAAGAACAGACACAAGACGATGGATTTCAAAATAAAACATTTATTTATAAATATATATAACGGAGTAAAGAAAGAAAAAAAGAACATCCATTTAACAAAGGGGGAGGACATCATAAGAATAGAAGGCACGAGCGAATACATACATATATGAAAACAGATCAAGCCAAACAAATCAACTTATCTTGCAGTCGGGTTGATATCTTCACATAAAGTTTTGATTAGCGAGCGAGAGTTCTGATGATAAAACAGTATCTTGGCCGGCCGACAATGTTCCTGGATTCTTCTTCTTTTCGCAAGTGTTCGAGGGTCCCCAGCATCTCATACAGGCGTTTGGTTGGGTCGGTCAGTTCCCTAGCAGTCCTTCCACCACTAGTCGACAGACTTTGCTGTCTTCCTCATCTCAGTGGGCGGTCTGACGATTTTTGCCCTGCGACGTTCAACTGCCGCTGATCAGAGGGAAACTGAAAAATCCTTTTTTGGTTTTCGCTGTCCCCAAAGACAGTCACGTGGGTTCCCTTTGTCCTTGACCGGGTACCCAGGAGGATAGGGCGCAAATCACGCAGTGCTTGTGTGATGGCCAAAAGTTCAACACATGCTCAGTACGTTCTGATCACGTGAATCGCAGCAGGAGACTCCGATGGTGCCTGGAATTCACTTATTGTCAGCCGCGAAATCTTGGAACCAGGTCATTCTCGCGTCGGGTCACTTCGAAGTTCACGGGCCCTTGGCTTGTGGGTGGAAGAGAGGATAAGGAGAGAAAGAATTTGTAAAGAGAAAAGAAGGATATGGCTGATCATAGAATATATTCGCTCGCGAGTCGGAAGCATTGGATTAAATTTCTGTTTTATTTATTTTCTTTTATATCTAACTAATTTTCTCTTTATTTAAGATTTTACTTTAGCCTAACGTCTATATGGTTAATGAAATCGTGGCTACGTAATATATATATATATATATATATATATATATATATATATATATATATGGGTTTAAAGCAATATCAAATGACCATTTTTCCCCCCCCAAAAGATCTTGACTAAAATGTCTCCTTTTAGCTTTTATTTGTATGAATACAACATTTTGTCTATCTTGCTTTCTTGAACTTTCAATGCTATATCCAAAAACTGTTAGTCAAGGAATTCAAATATCCCTTTAGAATTTTACAAGGAATAACCAAAAGTAGATATTGGCTGTTTTTTTGGTGAAAAAAAAAAAAAAAATGACAATTTTTAGATGGTTGACCACACAAATAAATTAAAAGTAGCAAAAGTTGGCGCAAAATTTGGAAACTAGAGTAATTGGGGAATAATAATCCCAATAAGTTTCATTCTCTGTCTCTCAAAGCTACTAATTCTAGACCTCTTCATATTTTTTTCTCAAGAATTCTGATTCATGGTAATTTCACAATTATGATCTTCTAATATTGACTCATTCTGCTAAAGGTGATGAAGTCCATAGGTAGCTAAACATTGGGAAACCATTACATAGTATTTGGAGAATTTATTCTCTAAGTTTTAACATTGACATGGAATGACCCTTAGGGTATGCTAACCTCATAGATCAACAATTTTTGTTACTTTACCATAGTTCCGGGGTCACTGGCCCGTTTGATTATTCTGAATGGCATGTTGAATTTCATAAGGAACATAAGATTTCTTAAAATTTTATTTTGTTTCATTCTCACTTGTTCACTCACACACTCTCTCATACATAATCACAGACATAAACAATGATTAAGTAGAATGTTTCTTGAATTTTGTAAACTTTTGATGAATGTAGCGTTTTTATCGTTTTAAACCATTGGTAATTTTCACTAAGGAAGATCATACGTGTAAGCATATTCCAGTTTTTGAAACTGGAAATATTGATAATAATTTTTTCTCCGGAGAAGAAATATTTTTTTTTTTTTTTTCAAGTGAATAAATTAGAAATAAATTACACAGTGACATGTTTTAATCATCATGTCATCAGTGATAATATTAGACCAAGAATTGAATTTTTGTAATTAAAGAAGAATTTAAAAAAAAAAATTCACCTTTACTAAGGTATACACTCCTGCATATGGTCTTCTGTATTGACACTATCATGAAAACTTGAATCTTTTTTAGTCCTACCCCCCCCCCTGAACCATAGATTATCCTGCCCACTGCTCACAGAAGCTTGCAACTCAATACCTGTTTATTATCACCAGAGGGATATACTAGGTTCATGAATATGCAACCATTCTTGAAGTCCCTTTAATAAATCGGTGTTTATTTACAAAGAAGACAAAATGGGACATATCAACATTTTTTAGCGTGGTGTATTTTGTATACCCACCTGTTACTGCACTTGATTAAGAATCACAGTAGGAACTGACCCCCAGACTTGCTCCTGACATCTCTACTAACCCCGAGTTGCCTCCCTTTTACTGGACATTTGATCTTGGGAGTTGTATGTCAAATTACAGTTATGTTAAAAGTCAGGAAAGAAGGAAAATGCTTGTATGGTTGTTGTAAAATATGGTTTCAAATTGTTGTAGTTGTAATTAGATTTATATTTATTTTTAATTTTGTCAAAGATTTCTCTAATGTTCACTATTTGTTTTTTTCTTTTTGTTTATACCAAATGCCATTTCAATTGAGAAAATGATCAAATCAGGATGAACGGATGGATTCACCCTTCAGTTTTAGCACAAGATGACAAACTGATAAAAATGTGTCTTTTTCTTTTTCATTTTATTATTGAAAAGTTTTTCTTTCTAGGAAGAACGGAATCCATGTTGGAAGAAGAAAATAATTCTCATGTTGATGGACTCTCAAGCAAGGTTTCCCGATTAAAAGGGGTAAGTAATCTTTTTATACCAATCAATTCATAATTGTATCCCCCCCCCACAATCCATTAGTAGCTGTGAAAATAATTCCTAAAAGCAACAAAAGGTGGCACAACATTTGAAAACTAGAGTATTTGGAGAATATATCCCAATAAGTTTCATCAACTCTCTCTCTCTCAAAGCTACTAATTCTAGACCTCTTAATTTTTTTTTTTTTCTCAAGAATTCTGTTTCGTGGTAATTTTGCAATTTTGATCTAATATTGATTCATTCTGCTATAGATGATAAAGTTCATAGGTAACAAAACATTGGGAAAACATTACATAGTATTTGGAGAATTTATTCCCTAAGTTTTAATCACTGTCTCTTTATATGGAGTTTTGAATATGCATTCAAAAAAAAGAAAAACTGTAAATTATCATGCAATACCTGGCCGCAGCAGACGTGGGCAAAAACTTACTAAAGGGAGATAACTGAAACTGATATCCGGAAAAGGCATGGTTCAAAATCCCTGTGTATATGTCAACTGATAAAGGTCAGAGTGTACTACAGCCGAAATGACTTGAATATGACAATAAAGATGAGGACAATAGTCCAAAAAATGTAAATATTGTAGTTACAATATCTCATCTCAGAAATATAGACAGATATTAAAAAAATCATTAAAATGTTTTTTTTTTTTTTGTTTTTTTTTTCCAGTTGGCACTGGATATTGAATCTGATACAAAAGAATCCATTCGCTTTCTTGATGGAATGGTGAGTCTTTTTTATCTGAAATTCCCCTCTTGTCTCTCAAAAGCATCCTTCCTCAAATTTAAAGATTTTAATCAATTTTCATCTGATCAATTCCCCAGTTTCACATAAATGTGGGAGAGCAAAAAAAAAAATTTTTAAATATTTATGATATTACAGATTAAATTTGACACCCAATAAATAATCTGAAATATTTAAGGCATCACAGATTAACTAGAACTCTACTAAATCATCCTAAATATTTATGACATCTCAGATTAAATAGGGCACCCAACAAATAGTCCTAAATATTTAAGATATCACAAATTAAGTTGGACACATGCTAGTTGTAAATATCTAATAGATCACTAATTAAATATTTACATTAAATAACCCATACAGGTTGATATGTCGCTAAATAAAATCAACCAACTGAAACTCAAATGCAACAGTCACCTGATGAAAGTTGGAGAATTGGCAATTTGAAAAGATTGTAATAAAATAAAAAAAATAATGAAAAAAGAGAAAATATTAAATTGGAAAGAAAAAGTTTTTAAGTCTACATGGAACGCTAGCAGACAATCTTTAACTTTTGCACGGTTAATGAGACACATTAATATGTTGTCCACATAATGATTCACAACTCCAGTATTAGGTCCTTAGGAAATAATTGTTTGTAGAACTCATGGAAATTCCATTGTGTGTATATAAGAAAGTTAAAAGTTCTAAGCATTTGTGGATTTTTGCAAGAATCTCACTTATGATGATAAAAATCCATTTTATAAAATTTCATTCAATTTTCATCAACTTTACCAAGTGGAATTGGTTGATATAAAATTCTTTCTTTTCTTTTTTTTTTTTTTTTTTTTTTTTTTTTTTTTTTGTTGCTTTTTATTACCAATCCATTCTGCTTATTTAACAGTTGTAGAAATGCACTGTAAGTAGACATAATAGTCTTAAGTTGTCTGATCTGGCAACAAGGCCTTTGATTGAGAAGTTTTGAGGAGTGTGGAACCACCTCTTAATTGCTGTTGTTCCCAGGTCCACCCCAAACTCGCCTGTTAGGGTCCCAGCTATGGGCAGATAGCCACCAAACTAGAGTCAAAACACTATGAAAGTATAAAAATAGATTTTTATAGTAAAAATACGAGCAATACACTTTTGAAAAAAAAAAATATTACCAGCAAAAAACCCTCTTTACAAAAATACATCAATGAAACCTGATTTAGAAACTGGTTTCTTACAAAGAATACATATTCTATTTATACAAACTTATCCTAAAAATCTTGTCAGTATTAAATAACCTATTGAGGTGTTGATATGCTGTAAAACAAAATAAATCAACCAGCTTGTCTGAATTTCTTAGATAAAGAGTTGTCATTATTATTAATTTATGACGAGTTTTCTCTCTCATCTTTATTTCTGTTGCTTTTTATCACAACATTCAGGTCATTTTGTTTCCAATCTAATCTGCTTAAAATAGAAATATAGACAGATACTAAAATAAAAATACATTGTAAATAGACATAATAGTCTTACGTTGTCTGAATGTCTCAAATAAAGCATTCTTATTATTAATTTAAAAACATTTTAATATTAATATTCAAGTCATTATAAAATAAGTTTTGATCATCCCTAATTATTATCAGGAACATTCATGTTATGTGTGTGTCATAGAGAAAGTTCTTGTTAGTTTCATCTTGTCACTTTTAGGAATGACATCCAATTAACATATCTAGGATTTTTGTTTTTAAATTACTCCATGAAAGGAGGGGGCATGAAACTTGACAATGCCTGAGGATGAAGCTATTAAATTTTTAAATACATTTTAAAATTCAAGTTGATTTAATAAAACTTGTCTGCATTAATTCTTACTGCCTTTGTTATACATCGTATAGTTTTATATAATTTTGTATGTAAATTTTTGCTGTACATGAGTTATCTCCCTTGCGTTGGCGATGTCATTGTTTTAACAGCAGCCGACTATTCCAAGATGTTTACAAAACTTGGGCAGGGAGTGTAAAAAAAAAAAAAAAAGATCAGACTTCATTATAGGTCAGGGTGCAACAATAATAAAAGGAAAAATACAGTTTGTTCCAAGAGTAATACATCTTATTTTAAGGCTCTCTAGTTAAACCACAATGTCAGGCAGGTGAGGCGGGGTGGGGGGAGCAATCTGGCAAAATGAAAGTGTGTATGAAACAGAGGTATGTTATGTAGAAAACACTGGGCACATTGACATTTGCTTAACATTTAAGGAAACAAAACAGTGGATACAAGCACAAGCATTGGAGAATGCTTTGCAGCAGTGGTGAAATTTTGAGTGACCCTGTACTGCTGTCAACTCTTGAAAGGAAGAGTACTGGGGTGGGGTGGAAATGCAGGTGACCATGTGAAAAAATAAAATAGTATTTTGTAGCTGAAAACTTAATTTATCCAATGGGGTTATCACCAATGCTGCAAAGCATTCTCCAGTGCTTGTGCTTGTATCCACTCTTTGGTCTCCTTAAATGATTAAAAGGAAAAAAATAATATAAACTTCTCATCTCAGAAATCCAGACAAATTTTATATCTACATCCTTATTATTCAATCCATTTGTTATTACAGATGTTAATTATGATTAAATTCTGTATTGGGATTGTAATAAATTTATTTTACTTTGTAGTAATAAATGCAATTTTGTAATTAAACCTTTTTCTTTTTTTATCTAGGGTTCTGACTTTGATAGTTCACAAGGTCTCCTAACTGGCAGTATGAATCGAATTGCGCACATGATGAACACAGGCAAAAGTAATCGTACACTTATGTGTTACGTCATCTTTGGTCTGACTGGCCTCTTCTTCCTTTCTTATTATCTCGTCTCTAAGGTTCGTGCATAAAAAAAATAAACCTAAGCCTCAATGGAACCAACAAATTGTAAATAGACAATGTTCAAAAACAAAATGTAATAACAAACTCTCGTTTGTTTTTGGTTGTTTCTGGTAAACAATTTTTTCTTCACATTCTTTTTTTCTTTCTGTTTTATCATCTTTATTATTATTAATTCGTACATAATAAATATTAATATACATCATTTATTAATTTATGACAAAAGATGAAGGAAATTGTGAAAAATATCCTTTCTAATAATTAAATTTGATTAACAAAATGTATTTAGAATCGATTCTTTGAGGCTCCATTGTTCAGTTTGAATCACTCTACCATCTGTTGATCAATCTGGGTATTAAACAAAATGGTGGAACAGAATATAAACCTTTGTGTTTTTATAGATATATAAACATAAAAAGATGATATTAAAAATGACCTACAGTGCATTTAGCAACGTTTCAAAAGCGGGTTGAAATTGAACCCACAGTGTATCAAGGAGTTTAAAAGCAAAGGATTTATTTTACATCACATCAATTGTTTTAAGCATATTTCCTCAATACTTAGACTGAAATTCTATATTTAAAAAAAAAAAAAAAAATCTTGATCATTTTTGTATTATTTATTAGTGTGAAATTAATCCCCCCACGACTTTTTTTTTTTCTTTTTTTTCTTTTTTCTTCTTCACTTCTGTTGTTCAGAGATGATGAGAATAACTCCAAAAATAAAATCATTGTGTGGTGTGGACATAAAGAGGGGGATCAGCTTTATATTATGATTACACTGTGTAACACGAATTTTGTCCTTGGGTCGCAACTGTTATCTGCCATTTGCTGACGCCCAGAAAGTATGAAAAATGGCTAATATTTCCTTCAAATTTTGCTTTTGGGACAAAGATAATGATATTTCTTAAATTTCCCTATTCCCATTGGGAAAACTGGTAAATGTGAATATTCTCTTTTGCACAAAGTAGGAACAAAACAACATAGGATTCAAAAGTAGCATTTATTTATTCCAGGATTACACAAGAGAGACCCCCCCCCCAAAAAAAAAATTTCAAATCAACAGCGACTTGTCTGCACTTGGGCAGCTAGAAGTAAACTGAATTGTTGAGCTTATGTTCTGTGTATTTATACCACCATCTATGTTGCCAGAACATTCTAGAAATTCTTGAAACTTTTAGAAACTTCTACTTCAACAACTCAGTACTGAATCTGTCTGGAATGTAATGGAAAATAGATTAGTTTTCAAAACATTCACGATGATCAAGTGACAAAAGCCAAGTTTGAAAGGAATATTAGTTATTTCCTTTGCTTTCTAGGCAGAAACAATTAGAAAATAACATTTACTGACCAAAGACAAGAAAATGTGAAAAATTTTGTTACACAGTGTTATCATTATTATTATTATTTCTCATTTGTGGAACTCTCTTCCTGCTTTCCTGTCAACTACAATCTTCACAACTTTAACTGTAACGTCAATCATAGCCTTCTGTCTCCATGGATCCTGTTCTTTTATTGTCCCCTTTTTTTCTTTCACACTCAGTAACCCCTTGCATCTTAGTGACTTCACTGCCTTGCATGGGGTGAAATGATCAGAAACCAAATTTAAATGCAATGTCAATCGTTATCTACTGTCTTCTGGATAACTCTTCTGTTGTTCTCACTCCTTAATAATGTTTCTCTATTTTTTTTATCAAATGTGAATGAGTTTTGTTTTTTTTTTTTGTCTAATTTTTACCATATTTGTCAGCATCAAAGGCATTAGCCGCTCTCTTACGTGAAACCCGGCCACAGCACATGGGATTTGTACAAGCAACTACCTTGTGTGAAATTACATCCTAGTGGCTTTATTGCCTTACTTGGAGTGAAATTATTTTAAAAAAAATAATAAATTAATCTCCATTTCTTTCACCCCTTTTGTCTTTATATTACTAAAGTGAATAATCACTTTCTTATTGTTTCTGTATATGGGTATAACTTAAAGCTATACCCAGCAATGGAGACTCGACTAGGGGACGGAATTAGGGTACCCTGAATCATGTTACCTACAGGTGATCTTTGGCTAAGATCTAGCACCTGTCTTGATCCCTCACCAGGGTTTTTTTTTAATGTGTGTGTGGTGTTCTTTAGAGTTATAGCTGACATTTGTCTAACAGGTTAATATCAGATCAGTATCGTTTTAAAACCTGGAACCCCTGGGTAAAAAAAATTACTGATGATGATGTGCCAGAGTATCTGAAGGATGTATTTCCAAAAAAAAAAAAAAAAAAAAACTGATTCCCATTTCTTTTTTTTTTTTTTTTTTTTTTTTTACTATTGTAGGTTATATTTTTTTCTGTTAGTAGGTCAAAGGAATTCTGTAGAATATTCCTGTAAATAATCAATATTTGATTTGCAGAAGTGGGAGTTTTGTGAGATTTTGTGGTTTGTTCACATCGTCATCAATATTAAACATCTTATGAAGATGATGGCGGGAATCAACATGAAAAATGTCATTGATTTTCATTTATGTTTTCAATGTTGTGCTGAAGATAATGTGAATAATCATTGAAATCTCAAAGAAAGAAATCCGTTGACTACTCTTTAATTCTCAACAAATTTACTTTGATCCTTTGTTTTAAATTCATTTGACAAAAGCAAAATAATAAGAGACATAAAATGGGGGATCAGTTTTACATTCAAATAATAAAATGAACCCGTTTTTATGGGGTTTTGTATATTACCATGACAAAAAGTTGGGGATCAGTTTTATATTAAATCCCAATAGTAAAATGACCCCTCTTTCAGTAAGTCTTAACATTTTTATATCTGACATAAAATTGAAGATGATCTTTTTATTATCAAAGTTTTCTTAAATCTTTGTGTGCAGAATCCAAAAACATCTTTGCGTCCTTGTGAATTTTTTCCACCTTGCAACCTATCTCTCACAGACAAGATGTCGTAAGCCTCTCACTACTCTATTACTACTTCCATGGAAAGTGCTTGGACGAACTGCATTCCTTAGTTTCATCAATTCTAACCTTCACAGCAAGGACCCACCATGCTACGCACATTGTAGCAATACATTCTCATCCCCTCTGTATTTCATGATGAGAAGCAAGTTCCACTTGAGCAGCTTCTTCCCATAAACCACCAATCTGTGGAACCGACTCCCTAGCAGATGTTATCCTGTTCATTATAATCTTAACTTGTTCAAGTCTACACTTAACCGTTATCCTCCCTGCATTTCCCCACAAATTGTGCCTCTTACTCTGTAGCCCTCTTCCTTGAGTGGCTTCCGAGCCTTCGACAGGGTGAACCTCACTAAAAAAAAAAAAAAAAATTCACAAATCTGAGTTGAACTGAGTACGTTCTCCCCAAAATGTAATTCAAATCTGACTAAAGGCCATAAAATGAATGAGTTTGCCATTGTCAGTGATTAACAAACAGATTCCTCTTCATTTAAATGCTATACAGAATTCTTGGCACAAATCTGTGATAGGGAACCCCTTTTGGATTCGTATCTGCTGAGAACTTTGATTACGTTACTGACTCTTTGAGATTGAACCGTTTTAATATCAATATTTGTTCCTTATGCTAACAAACATTTGAGAAGGAAAAATAAATTTTCATAATCATTCATAGATTGAGATCCTTAGATACAAAGATGTTTCTTTTTGCTGTGATATTCTAAACTTTCAAAAATGCCTCCAAAATCAGTTTTATACAAAAATTTAATTTGAATGAAATGTATTTTCAATTCTTGTACACTCTGCTCCCCTTTTTTTTTCTTTCTGGGGGCAGAAAGTTTATCTAAAGTCTTCATTTTTGTTACTCCCTCCCCACACTTTACATTTTGGTAGAATCTGAGATTTTGGCCAAACTTTCCCTGGTGACCTTAAATTCTATCACTCGTCAACTACTATTTGCCGTTAAAATTCTACAAGACCATAAAGTAGGGGATCAGTTTTATATGGTATTAAGTAATAAATTACCCCCTCACATGCGTACACACACACTTGATACAATAGATAAATGCATAATAGTCTTAAACCGTGTAAATGTCTCACACAGCAGTTGTGTTTTTATTAAAGATTGCGTTCATTTTCTTTATTTCAATGTTGCTTTTTTTTATCACAACAATTGCATTGTTTTACATTTAGTGAAGAGAAAATTTATTAAGGGCTACAAAGGAGAGGAAAGTGAACCAAGATTGCCAACATCAAGAATGGACATGGTACATAGAAAAATACTGTTAAACAACCGCCTAGATTGGCAATATTATGTCTTCTACTACTACACAAAGTAAAAAGAGGATAACAGAATGTAGATATAAGAGTAAATTTGAATGATGCCTGCTGGTAAGGCACCGTCCCTGTGAGACAGGCTTCTAACAATAAAGGATGTAAGCTCAAATCTTATTTGAAGCTAATTGTTTACTTCCAATTGATGCTGTGGATGGAGTTGTACAATAGGCCCTGCAGTCAAAAGAACCTTTGTTTTGGGGGGTTTTTTTTCTTTCTTTGTTTTCTCTTTCTTTTTCTTTCCTTATTTTTTTCAATTTTTTCTTTTTCTTTTTTCCTTTTCTTTTTTCTTTTTTTTTTCCTTTTCTTTTTTTTTCCTTTTTTCTTTTTCTGTTTTTCTTTTTCCCTTTTGATCTTTCCTTTTTCTCCTTTTTTCCTTTTCTTTTTTTTCCTTTTCTTTTTTTTCCTTTTCTTTTTTTTCCTTTTCTTTTTTTCCTTTTTTTTTTTTTTTTTTTTTTTTCCTTTTCTTCCTTTTTTCCTTTTTTTCTTTTCTGTTTTCCTTTTCCTTTTCTTTTTCTTTTTTTCCTTTTTTTTTTTTCCTTTTTTTTTTTTTTTTTTTTTTTTTTTTTTCATTTTTTTTTTTTTTCCTTTTCTTTTTTTTTTCCTTTTTTCTTTTTCTGTTTTCCTTTTTCCCTTTTCTTTTTTCTTTTTTTTCCTTTTCTTTTTTTTTTTCCTTTTCTTTTTTTTTCCTTTTCTTTTTTTTCCTTTTCTTTTTTTTCATTTTCTTTTTTTTTCCTTTTCTTCCTTTTTTCCTTTTTTCTTTTTCTGTTTTCCTTTTTCCCTTTTCTTTTTTCTTTTTTTTCCTTTTCTTTTTTTTTTTCCTTTTCTTTTTTTTTCCTTTTCTTTTTTTTTCATTTTCTTTTTTTTTCCTTTTCTTTCTTTTTTCCTTTTTTCTTTTTCTGTTTTCCTTTTTCCCTTTTGATCTTTCCTTTTTCTCCTTTTCTTTCTTTCTTTTTTCTTTCTTTCTTTTTTAATGATTGACAATGAGTCCTGTAATCCATCAGGGTCATAAGGGCCCCACATATACAGTGGTGTGTCCTGGGTAAGATAGTCTGACAAAGACCAAGCCTCTGCAAGCTAGTTGGAAATCAGAGTTTTCTTTCTCCTAGACTACTCACCAACCAAGGCTATAGGTCTATCCTGCTATTCAACCCATAGCTGGAGGGGAAGAGATGGATTCACACTTTTCCCAAGGCTGTTTGCATATAAGTGAATGGAATGAACTCATCTAGAATTTGAAAATGATCACGAATAACAAAAAAAATAATTTTAATTAAATTTTATAAAATTGAATGAGTGTGAGTCCAACGATGTAAATTTATTGTAAATTGATTTCCCTGTGGAAGGCAAAACAAAATATGTTTATACCACATGATCTCTTAAAATTAAAAAAAAAGATGAAATTCATAATATGGTGTTTTTTCTTTCTTTTCATATATTACAATTAAGTAAGAACTTCAGATTACAAATTTAAATAAATATATATATATGAAGAAATATAGTCTTAAGATGTTGCTATATTTATGGGATAAAGTGCTCAATATCAGAGATAGAGCATGTAAATATAAAAGTGAACATAGAAATCAACACTTAGGCGACAGTCTGTTTCATGCTAGATGCAATCGTCAGGCCATAGATTGCATGAAACAAAACATCTAATAAAAAACTTCTATGTTCACTGTATATATATATATATATATATATATATATATAATTCCAGGTAAGATGAGAATGAATAGTACAATTCCAAATTTTGTAACATTTAATTAGAGTCAGTTGGGTTTTAAGGGGCATAAACCCTTTTATAATGAGTTAATTGCAGTATTTTTATATATTAATAATGACTTGAATTCCCTTTCCGCCACAAATTTCTGAAAATAGAAATGTTCTTGTGAATGACACCGGACACTTTATTAAAATCTGTTCCAAAATGATTTTAAGTTTACCATTCACGTTATGTTGAAGACTATCATCTGTTTTAAATTGTGGAGTAGATGTCTTGTCTGCATGAACTTTGACCTGATTAAGAAAAGATGACAGCTACAGAATTTGTAGATGTCAAATTTGGCCATTAATAAATAGGGCAAGAAACGGCAAATGCTCCTTCTTTTCTTTATAGGCTCAGTCATTAAAGTTGACCAAATAAGAGATTAGAATCATTTGTTTTATTAATGCAGCCTGGAGAGAATGTCTGCAATGAAAAAAAGCTTAATTATAGTGTTAAGAAAATTTAAGATATTTTTTTTTTCCATTTCATTAGTTGTATCATCTTTTGGGTCAGATTTGATAGCAGACCTCACTTCTTTCTGGCTAATAATCTCTTACTAATTTATTGAGACTAGAAAAGAATAGTTTTGTCTATTCACTGAGAATAATGATGGCATATTTCACCAGAAGTCTTCCAGTGCAATATACTGTGTGTGTGTGTGTGTGTGTGTGTGTGTGTATATATATATATATATATATATATATATATATTATAAATTGATTTATTTAAAATATGTTTTTTTATATACACAGTTCTAACCATGTTTCAAAAATGGAAGCTAAAATTCTTCGAATTTAATTTTGTAATTAAATTAAAAACATTAGTTCCATTTCATCCTCATGGAACTAATGTCTTTAATTTAATTACAAAATTAAAGTAAAGACATTAGTTCCATGAGGATGAAATGGAACTAATGTTTTTAATTTAATTACAAAATTAAATTCGTAGCTTTTAGCTTCCATTTTTGAAACATGGTTAGAACTGTGTAGCTTAAAAAAAACCATATTTTAAATAAATCAATTTATAATATTAATGCTCTGTAAATTTACATTGAGCACTATTTTGTAAAAATATCTATAAGAACACCAGATTATATATCTTACTGTTCTTTCTTTTTATTTATATATATATATATATATATAAGCAAATATATGGATATAGATCTGACAGTATGAAGAAAAATATGGAAAACAAAAATCCAAATATGCAAATATGCTGTTTTAATGTTGTTTCAATGTGGGCGTCAGACGTTTTGGGGTCTAGTAGACCTTCTTCAGGACATAGTTATTAAAACATAATTAAAATTAGACGATATTCAAGTCAACATGAAAAGATGGTAGACATAAGTGAAACAGAATGCGGATCTTAAAATTTCAGTTATTCTGTTTTGATTAGTCTTACTCTTATATCTATCGTCTTTTCATGTTGATTTGAATTTGAATATGTTAATTATGTTTTTTAACTATGAAGAAGGTCTACTAGACCCAAAACGTCTAGACGTCGACATTGAAACAACATTAAAACAGCATATTTGCATATTCGGATTTTTTTTTTTTCCATATATTTTTCTTATATATATATATATATATATATATATATATATATATATAATATAAATTAACTGATTTAAAAATATGGTTTCATTGCTACACAGGAATTACCATGTTTCAAAAACAGAAAAAAATTTCAAATTTATATTAAATTAAAAGCATTAGTCCTGTTTCATCTTCAAGCAAATTTTTGGAACCCAAACTTGCTTGAAGTTTTTGTTTTCTGTTTTTGAAACATGGTAATTCTTGTGTAGCGATGAAACCATGTTTTTAAATCAGTTAATTTATAATATTTATGCTCTGTAACTTTACATTGAGCACTGTTTTGTAAAAATAAAAATGTCAATAAGAACACTGGGTTACGTATCTTACTGTTCTTCCTTTTTTTATGATAAAATATATCAGGATATAGAAATCCCGAGTTTTTAAATTTTGACAAATGGAAATGTTTCATGATATAGATTTGATTGAAAATAGATTTGATGATGTATTTCACCATTCAAGGCTTCATCAGATCCAAAAACGGAAGAATGACAATGAGTATCTGTGTATTTGTGTGTGTGCTTAAATAATGAATCTTAGTACTTTCCCTAACCTGGTGTTTCTTGTAATTAATGAAGAAAGAAAATGCATGACTAAAAGGTTAAATGGATTTCTTGCCATTCTGATAATGAGAAGAGAATTTGTCTTTAATTCGATACAAAAAAATCTGAGAAAATGTGGCCACCAATTTTCAGAATAAATCAGAAAACTTAATTATTTTTTCCTTCCAATTTCCCAAAAAATGTCTATAGGTTTTATTCCAGAAATAAATACAAGGCAAAAGTGAAAAAAAAAAAGAAACAAAACAGTATTCGTTTTAGGAGAAAATCAAATAAGGAAAAATTATAAATCAGTAATCTTTAAAACTTTACATCTGGTTTTGTGCACGTATCCCCCACCCTCCTCATCTGACTTTACTCTCTCCCAAACATCTGAACCCCACCTCACCCCTTACTCCCCCCCACTTACTTTTGACGATCAGCTTCTGCTTTTGATCGCTCCCCATCCCAGACAGCTGACTTTTTATTTTGTGCTGCCATGCCTGGTATATAAAAAAAAAACACAATGTGCTTCCATAACTGTATTTCTTGTATGCATTTCCACACATTCACTGGGGCACAGATACTACATTTTGATCTTCAGCAGAGATTCAGGAAGTGACACTCTGATCCAAGGCTGAAATACGTACATAAGCTCATCATTTTTGACTGATAATATGCACATTAATAAATAATCTATCGTATTTATAAGGAAATGGCTATTATATCCATTGGCAGTACTGACAAATGATAAACCTCTAACTAAAAAAATTTAAACAAAAAATACAGGCATAATATATTTTCAGAGACCTTTCCTTTTCTTTTTTTTGTCTACAATGAAAAAATCTTAGCCTTAAATAGACAAGGAGGGAAATTTAACATTCCAATGACAACCCATGCATATTTCTTAGATGGGGTGTTGCAGCTATTTACATCATTCAGACTGTTGTCCTCATCTTTATTGCCATATTCACATTTTGGCCATTGTGCACTCCAACCTCCTTCAGGTGATATATGTTGGAATTGCGAACTGAACCCTTTATTTTGTCCACTGGGGTAGATTGTTCTAGTTCCACGTGCCATGCCTTTTCTGGGTATCTCAGTTTCAGTTAATTCCCTTTAGTAACTCAACTCTTCAAGTTTTTGTTCACCTCTGCTGTGGCTAGATATTGAACTCTCAACTCTTTGGATCAAGTCACTGGATTGCTTCAACCAAGGCTTTTATTCATTATGTTCAGTTGAAATTCCAGCATATGTCACCTGATGAAGGCTGGGACATACAATGGCCGAAATATCGTGAATATAACAAGATGAAGACAATAGTCCAAAAAATGTAAATAGTGTAGATAGTCCCAACAAAGACATACAAATGCAATTATGCAATTTAACTTCAGACACGGAAAGTAAACACTGGAATTTACACGTAAAAGAATCTGAGAGGGGGTACTTTTTTTTTGTTTTTTGTTTTTTTTTTCCCAACAGACTTTAAAAAAATAAGTTGGGCGTTGTTAATATTTTTCTTCTAATGTTGAAAAGAAAATGAATTTCTCTTTATGTAAAATGTGTTGCGGCTTCTTTCTTTTAACTTTCTCAAAATTAATGTTTTGATTTACCAAAACTCTGTATAAAACAAAAATATCAATAATACTAAAGAAAACAAAGGAGAGAAAGTTGAAAAATGACAGATTTGGAATTAATTTGACCAATTCTTAAAATCTTTTATTTATTGCCCAAGCTTTTTGTAATTAAAGGAAACTCATTTTGTTTCTCCTCGACATTGTTAACATTATTAATAAACTTCTGAATAAAAAAAAAAATATTATCAAATGTGAGTGCTGTTTTTTTTTTTTTTTGTCTTTTTTACCAAATTTGTCAGCATCAAAGACATGCCTCCCTCTCTCACCTGAAACCCAGCCACAGCACATGGGATTTGTACAAGAACTGCTTTGTATGAAATTAATGCAAGGAGATTCTTTCTTTTCTTGTTTCCCCTGATATCAAAAGTTCTTATTTCCATGTCTTTCAAACAAATTTATTTCTCATTTCAAAGACTAAAACTTCTATTTCTCAGCCAAAACATTT